TCTTCTGAAGTGAAAAAGCAGTCCCATATTTTAGCGAACTTTTTTCACCTGATGTTACACAGAATCGCTTACTAACAACTAGTAATAATTCCTCCTTTGAGTAAGTCTGCTGTACTTGAAAGTTCATGCCGCTCACGTCTTTTTTCAGAAAACAAGACAGAAAACAAGGCCCTTCTTTCAGCGCACTGAAGCCCAGTACAGGAAGCCAGAGGTACAGAGGCGGCTGTACAGGCAGCCAGATCAACAGAGAGGCCCAAACGCCCCCTCAGTCAGGAGGCCTTTTCAACTGCGGCGAAGGTGAGAATGTTTACTTTTTATCACTCATTATGTTAAGTTTGATTTCAGCTCTAGAGAAGGAGAGACCGATGTTATTCAGCTTTGATTCAGCTACATAGTTTACACAGCTAGATTTTTATTTTATTTTATTTGTGCTCTGTTCATGCAGACCGCTGCCTCCTGTCCAGCAGACTCAGAGGGAAGCACGACAGGCCACGTTTCTTTTTCGCAGGGGACTGAAGGTATCTGAGAGGTTACGTAGTGTGTTTGTTGTCTAAATCAAACCAGCAGTGAAGCTGGTCTTCGTGGCCACGTGGACTCTTCTCATTCTGCTTGTGCTTCATGTGTTTTAACAGGTACAAGCCCAAGTGCAGAAGCCAACTCCCCGCACACCTCCAGTCAGAACACGCCAGTGAGTATACTTCTGACAACCTGCGTTGTATGTTCATATGTGAGGAAGAGGAACTCGCACTGAGGATGTGAATCATTTAGAAGGGAAAGGGCACCGTTGTTGTCCGTTTTTGGGGTCTGTGTCTGTTTGTGTAACACGAGGCACCTTTTCCATTTGTCCAACAGGTGGCGCACATCGACAGCCAGCAGTGGAATCCTGACTGTTTCAATAGACAACCCCACAGCCAGGACACAGCCTGAGTAAGTACTCAGTAGGATCTCTGCAGTACACACTGATTTTAGACTTCGCTGTGAATGAAATGAGGGTTTTCGCTTGCTGTGGAAGAACTTCAGACGATGCAAAACGCTGCAGCAAGAGTATTAATGGGGAATAGCTTCGCTCTATTGGCTCTGGTTTAATCCATGACTGAGTTTCAAATCCTTCCCTTTAGGCTTGCTCATGGTTTCCAAAAGTAGAATAGGCGGCAGAGCCTTCAGCTATCACCTCTGCTGTGGAACCAGCTCCCAGTTTGGATTTGGGAGCCAGACAGTACTTTAAGTTTAAGCTTGCCTTTTTGGTAAAGCCTATAGGGCTGGATCAGGTGCCTCTGGGCGACTTTCCATGATGCACTGAGCTTTTCGCCTTAACTCCACCTCTTTTCTCTTCCTATATGTCTCTATGCCATTATTAAAAGTCATTAAATGTTACCCACTCTCCTGTAGTATCTAGTTTGCCCTATTTGTTTGTGTCTTTCCCCCTGCTGAAGGATGTCCTCCTGTCAACAGAAGGTAGTTCTTCCTTTTGTCTGACTGTCTTTGTGCCTTGTACTTAGGCCCCCAACAGCTTGGACCCTGCATCCCCCTGCTGCCAGTGTTGCCCCCGTGAAGATGGAAACGGTGGAGAAGAAGATACCAAAAGGAGTGCCTCTGCAGTTTGACATCAACAGTGTTGGGAAACCGGTGAGAGTGTGCTTGAGTGTCGTCTAATCCACAGATATAGGACAGTTTTCATTCCAGCTGTAGGGCGTTGTAACATTGGACCTTTCTCCCCACAGCAAACGTCGATGACTCTGAACGAGCGATTCCGCATCCTAAAAGACCGCCGCGCTGCCACAGCTCAGAGCAGTAAAGGCAGCAGATTCGTCACCGTTGGTTAGCTGACCAGAAGGAAGACACAGATGATACTCAAACGCTCCTCTGTCCTGCTCAGACTCACACGGCAAACCCCACCTCTCTGATGGAGCGGACAGTGCAGACCCCAATGCCTCGCTCTGCTAATTGGAGGGAAGGCAAAAAACCACAGGACAAACAAGGATGATGTGCACAACTGCAAGGACTTGA